CCCTATGTGGCCACCCCACGTTCTCACTCAACTCACCCCAACACCCCTTCCACAATGCCTCCGGCCAGCGGTCACCATTCTCACGCAGCAGCCCCCATCCCCCACCCCTCCCTGTACCTTACGCTACCCTTGCTAGCCGAGCCGAGCGATGCCAGGCAACGCCCGCTATCGAAACTGAGCAGAACGCATGGTCGTTCTGCTGCGTGGTGCTATTTATTTTTCCCTCTTAAGTGCGTTGATTTCGTTCCTTAGTCGTCTCGGTCACAGACAACGTTCTTCCTTGTGCTTTCGTCACTCAGCACGTCGTGCGTGCTTGCGTCACTTTGCTTATTTGTCGACTCGTTTGAGCACTATCGCTCTTCATCAGTAGCGAATCCGCAGAAGTCAGACGTTTTTTGCACCCAAATGGATGCAAAAAATGTCTGATTTTTATTTTGCCGGAATCTAATTAAAAAGTTTTTTAGACTGAAAGAGTTGGAAGGAAGATTAGCCGATGAAAGAAGGCTTGTCAACGATGTGAATGTTAAATTGAAAGTTTTGTACGATACAAGCGAACAAAAAGCTTTGCAGGTTTGCGCTTCAGCTTTTACTTAAATATGCTCTGTTATCTATCTTTGACATTAAAAGTGCAATCCGAGTTTCATCTTTAAAATTCAAATGTTTATTTTTGCATGATGAAGTGATTGTGAACATTAACAAGTATGAGTGTTTTGTAACTGTGATGCACTGCAACACAAGTCGCTACTCGCAGAGTAATTTCTTCGAAAACGAAGCACTGTACCGCTGCTCCAGAACAGCTCGCTTCTATTCACTCGAAAATATTGTGGGTCTGTCTCTTTCCCATTCCAGTGTTCCCAGTTTTAAATTACACTTTCCACTATCACTAATTTAGAAATGAAATAAGACGAAATAACTTTCATACGCGACACGATTCAGGAGAAATGGCAAATCCGTGAGGAACGTCAGAAACTGAACGTTGAAAAAGAAGCATTCAAAATAGAGCAGCGAAAAATTTTGGATTTAGTGGAGCAACAAAGAAACGAAATTGAAGCTTCGAGGGTAACAATAGTATTTTATTTATCCTACTTCAGTATTTCTCCACAGCAGTTTAGGCTTCACTATTTGTACATGCCTACTACAGTACTCCTTCCTCCTCCCTCCCCTTTTCTTCCCTCCCCCCACCCCCTCCTCCCCTCCCCTTACCCGATCCAAATAATTGCATTTTAACATCCGAATACATTACTATTGGGCTGCTCACCAAAAAAATTGTTAGAGCTAAATGTGTCTCGTTGATCAAAACATTTCAACTGAATTGCCTATAACAAAAAATTTATCCTAATTTGCAGTCCGATTTCCTGCGTGAGCAGCACGATTTGCTAGTACGGATGATGGCTGCAAAATCATCGCTGGAGGCGGAAAGAGCAGCATTTGATACGCAACGTGATCGGGATGTTTTAAGGCTAAAAACGGAAGCTGAGCAACTGGATAATAAACTTAAGCAGGTTAGATTCAGAACAATGCTAATTAAACAGAATATGTTTGTTGAACTGTACAAATTCGCTCTTAAACTTTTACTTTGACTGTTACAAAGCAATATCACCTTGTAGCTTCTTTTCAAACCATCTTGCTCCAGCACAACATTCAACGTTCTAGACAATTAACCAATTTATTGTTTTGAATACCGACTCGCACTGAAGGCGCCATGCCGCATCATCGGTTTCGTTTTTTGCATGCATTACATTTGGTTACTATTAAAGGCTTAGCATTTAAAGTCTGAGCAATTCTGATAATTTTAGCAGTATTTTTCGCGATTTGTAGGTTTTCGCTCATTAATTACATTCTAGTCTTCGGGATATTTTCTTTAAAAAAAAAACTTAAGATTAAATTCCTAATCGAATCGCATGACTTTCAAGGTGCAAAATGCAGAAGATGCCTTACAAAACAGTCAGCGAATTTACGAGCAAAAATATCAACAGGTAATTCAGTTTGCTTCTTTATGATGAATTTCGACTTTTGCTGGTCAATTAAAGCAAGCAGGCATCCAACTAAGAGGCTAAAAATGGTAGGAAAGGGAAGAGTACGGGGAAAAGACTAATAACGAGTGACTGTTAGCCTTTTTTGCAAGTGATGCAAAAAAAATCCAATTTAATTAACCACGGGCTATTTTTTCAAGATAATGTTACAAGCGCCCACTTTTAGATAGTGGGCTTGGAACAAGCTCTGATCGAGGAGTGCTTCGAACTAGAACGATGTCGGAAACAAGTGGAAAGTGTCCAGACTGCTATAAGGAGTAAGCAAACGCAGGTAAGCAACCCTACTCGCGTACTTTTTCATACATCGAAAAACCATCATGGCATGACTGTTTCTGCAGGGACGTGATTTGCTCGGTCAACTTTGCAACCGAAAGGCTAGGAAAACAAAATTTTGTAATTGTATTTCTCTGTGCAGATCTAGATTAATCAGCTCCATTGTCACCTGCTTTGACGTATAGACACATATAATTTTGCAATTTGCTCACCCGGCCACTAGATAATTATTCAGCGTTAAATCGGGCACTTTTCTTGTAGCCGTATTTGACAGAGCTTCGAACCTAAATTTTGAAGCTATAAACTCTGTCCATGTGCGGCTGATATAAAGCTCTAACTTTTGAGCTGACATTAAAACTCCAGAACCATGTAAAATTACTTCGAAATTTTTGATACTTTTCATGTCAGTTCAGTCAAAAGATTATCTTGATGAACTCAGGCCGGCTGAGGCGTAGAATTACTAGCCGCATAACGGCTCTTAGTAAAAAGGCATAATGCAGTCGATAACGCGATGCACACCACTGCTGTCGCTCTTCGAAGATCTTTAGTGGCATGCAGATGAAACTTGTTACGCTCATCCAGCTGCTGACTTTTGGTTTTCTGTCCCTCTTATAAAAGTAGTTGATTTCTCAAGTTCTTCAAAATGGTGAACAGAATGCAAGAGATTAAGTTTGTTGCTGTTTGGCC